GGGTCGTACTGTAGAATTCAAGATCATACCGCAGGATTTAAGAGTATACTGTAGGAATTAAGTTCCTATTGTAGGATTCGAGATCGTACTGTAGGATATAAGATGTATGTAGCATATGTGAATTACAGTGCTTGCCAGAGAGTGACTTCAAAAAATTTTTTTTTTCCAGGGTCTTCCAACACTGGAATCACTGTCACATTTGGATTTATCGGAGAATCGAATTTCGACAGGTCTCGAGGCACTCACTTCGTGCCCCAATCTAAAATATATCAATTTGTCGGGCAACAGAATTGCCGAATGGGCAGCCGTTGAGCCGCTGAAGAAACTGGAACAACTGAAATCACTGGATCTTTTCGGTAATGAGATAGCAGTTGACATGGAATACAGAAGGCAGATTTTCGAGGTAATTATATTCAGCACAAAAATTAATATTATTAGGACCGGTATACATAGACGGATTCAGGGCGGTCTCCTGAGAGGGGAGGGGAGGGGGAGTGACGACTATGATGTCAACGACATCGCTATTAGCACTGCAACCTGAGCCCTTGAGAGGGAGGGGGAGGAGGGGGGGGGGCGAAAAATCCTCCCCTCCCTTCCGGCTCCTCGCCTCTCCTAGACCCACCAATGCTAATAAATGACATTTGATGTAGTGAACTCATCAATTCTAGTGCTGTTACTGGAATATATCTATGTACTGAGTACTACCACACCAGTCTCCCGATCTCAAGCCTTTTCAAACCATGTATATAATATATATATACGCTGATCGGAGAACTTAAATATGACCAAAAGATGCTCAGGGTTCCGATGGTACTTTTTGCATTCGGCACTTTAATCGACAGATTCCTTCATCTTTGCCCTCCTCCCTTTTCCCGCACTCAGCACTCTCTCGAAATTTTAATTTTCGATTGTGTTCCTCTCCACGATGGGCCAGCAATGCCAAAAAAAAACTGCATATGTTAGCACATGGATGCGATTTCAGGCTCCCCGGTCCTCTTCCAGTCTCCTAGCCAGAGATATTCATTGTTTGTATCTTTAAAATTTATTTTCGGACATTTTGTGATGTGCTAAGACGACACGAAAAGTATTAATAATTTACGCGTTTGTTAGGCGTATTTCCAGTTGTAGAATGAGGGGAAGTTTACCATCACGAGATTCGTTAATTCGTTTCGGTAACAAACCGGTTTTTGCATGTTGAGTTTTCTGGTGGTGGGGAAGGGCGAGG